GCCTTCCCCACATGTCTTGTAGTTCCACTATTCTATACTATTTTGCCTTGTTGTAAAGCACCTGTCTAAACGGCAGGGAAAAGTGTACCATTTGTATAAGCGTGTAGGGCTATTGTTCTCAGTGTCTGGTTGCTAAGGTCACGCAGAGGATACGCTATGTACAATGACAGGGTCCGTCACCGTGGCGGCACCTGGCATCCCACCACCACCAACGATGCCACTCCGGCCAGTTTGAATAAAAACCAAAGACATTTAAAACCCTCATATATGTAATTCACGTTATTAACTATAATACCGACGCACGATTATATTCAAATTAACTAAATTCAACGATAATGAACGATATATGTCTCGCTGTCGCTGTAATTCTTTAAACGCTACTTGGTAACTCAAACACATGTGCTCCTCCTCCTCCTCCCTCCCCGCCCCTCCCCCACCAGCCTACCCCCAACCAGAATCTCGTGCAGAAGCGGTCTATCTCTTCCCATACCGCGCTGGACCATTAGGCTCCCTTCCATTTACTATAAAAACAATTAAAGCATATTATACCGATAACTTTTTATGCTGCCATTGAAAAACACGATTTATCTGTATAAAGAGAATTAAACGTAACTATTTAGGTGCATAGAGATGCTTAAATGTTTAATAAAACGGCGAGTTGTGCAACACGATCAGTTCATTCAGGTTCAGGAAATGAATGAACAGGCAACTGATAACAACAGAGTTCACTATCAACTAATTAAATGTGATAAACGGTTGAAATTACGACCAAATGAGTGAATGGAAAGCAGGAAGCAGACGCTGCTCAAGCAGACAGGCCAGCAGGAAATTGATATTTTAACCAAATGTTCGCTTCCCGTCTTCCCGCTTTCACAGAGAATCGCTTAAATCATTCACTTTTTCACTAGGAATATTCACAACCATACAGTTATTCATTTTTTAATGAATATGGTCATATGACGTGGCCAACTGAACGTTTACTGAATTGGAACAATGACTCTAGATATTATATATGGAAGCTTACATGATGTATTAACCTATTTTAGCACACACGATATTATCGATGATTATACGCGTAAGAAAATATATCAATTACAAAATATATAATAACGTGTTTATTCCTGCAGCGTCAGAGTGACGTACCTCCCAGTGACGTACCTCCCAGTGACGTTCCACCCAGCAACGTCACACCCAGCACCGTCACAGCCAGTGACGTCACACCCAGTGACGTCACACCCAGCACCGTCACAGCCAGTGACGTCACACCCAGTGACGTCACACCCAGCACCGTCACAGCCAGCAACGTCCCACCCAGCAACGTCCCACCCAGTAACGTCACACCCAGCAACGTCCCACCCAGTAACGTCACACCCAGCAACGTCCCACCCAGCAACGTCACAACCAGTAACGTCACACCCAGCAACGTCACAACCAGTAACGTCACACCCAGCACCGTAACAACCACTTACAAGTCAAATGAACCATCTCGAAACTCATTAACCCACAGCACTTTAACTAACGATCAAATGCTTCAAAGTGGCGGGCAGCAGCACTTAACGCCTGCTTCAGTACACACTTACCAAGACGAGTTCATTCCAATTACAGATGAAGAGTCACAATAACTTGCTTGAAAAATCGACTTGATAACGGTCCAGGGGTCAGATTCACGAAGCAGTTACGCAAACACTTACGAACCTGTACATCCTTTCTCAATCTTTGCCGGCTTTGTTTACAATTATTAAACAGTTATTGACACTCCGAAGCACCAGGAGGCTGTTTATAACAATAACAACAGTTGATTGGCAAGTTTTCATGCTGGTAAACTGTATAATAATTGTAACCAAAGCCGTCAAAGATTGAGGAAAGATGTACACGATCGTAAGTACTTGCAGTACTTCGTGAATCTGGCCCCAGGACGGACCGAAACGTCGTCGTCTCTTCACTTTCTAGTGTGTGTGGTTTGGTCAACACTTCATTCCAATTACATTTCAATACCCATCCTAACATTACCCATTACATCTCACGTAATGAGACATCTAGTGAACGCTATGTAATAGGGGGGGGGGGGGATATAAATACGGGTTACAATTTATCAACACAAAACAGAACACGAAACAATTGTTACAGAATTGTTAGGTGTTGAGGCAGGAAAAACCTGGGGGGGGGGTCACTGGATTGTTTAAAGCGTAGAGTAAACATACATTGAGGAGTACTACAGTACTTCGAGGAGTACTACAGTACTTCGAGGAGTACTACAGTACTTCGAGGAGTACTACAGTACCTCGAGGAGTACTACAGTACCTCGAGGAGTACTACAGTACCTCGAGGAGTACTACAGTACCTCGAGGTGTACTACAGTACCTCGAGGAATACAACAGTACCTCGAGGAGTACTACAGTACCTCGAGGAGCACAACAGTACCTCGAGGAGCACAACAGTACCTCGAGGAATACAACAGTACCTCGAGGAGCACAACAGTACCTCGAGGAGTACTACAGTACCTCGAGGAGCACAACAGTACCTCGAGGAGCACAACAGTACCTCGAGGAGTACTACAGTACCTCGAGGTGTACTACAGTACCTCGAGGAATACAACAGTACCTCGAGGAGTACTACAGTACCTCGAGGAGCACAACAGTACCTCGAGGAGTACTACAGTACCTCGAGGAATACAACAGTACCTCGAGGAGCACAACAGTACCTCGAGGAGTACTACAGTACCTCGAGGAGCACAACAGTACCTCGAGGAGCACAACAGTACCTCGAGGAGTACTACAGTACCTCGAGGAGTATTACAGTACCTCGAGGAGTACTACAGTACCTCGAGGAGTACCACAGTACCTCGAGGAGTACTACAGTACCTCGAGGTGTACTACAGTACCTCTAGGAGTACTAGAGTACCTCGAGGAGTACTACAGTACCTCGAGGAGTACTACAGTACCTCGAGGAGTACTACAGTACCTCGAGGAGTACTACAGTACCTCGAGGAGTACTACAGTACCTCGAGGAGTACTACAGTACCTCGAGGAGTACAACAGTACCTCGAGGAGTACTACAGTACCTCGAGAAGTACTACAGTACCTCGAGGTGTACTACAGTACCTCGAGGAGTACTACAGTACCTCGAGGAGTACTACAGTACCTCGAGGAGTACTACAGTACCTCGAGGAGTACTACAGTACCTCGAGGAGTACAACAGTACCTCGAGGAGTACTACAGTACCTCGAGGAGTACTACAGTACCTCGAGGAGTACTACAGTACCTCGAGGTGTACTACAGTACCTCGAGGAGTACCACAGTACCTCGAGGAATACTACTGTACATCGAGGAGTACTACTGTACCTCGAGGAGTACCACACTCGAGGAGTACCACAGTACCTCGAGGAGTACTACAGGAAAGTACAACCCGTCCTCAGGCCAGGCTCGTTAAACCTGCGGCCCTTCCCAAGAAGTATTCATCAACTGTAAAATATTGCGTGTAAAAAATAGCTTTGTTATCATTTACATATTAATATTATCATATATTAAAGGCCTATGTACAGCTAGGTTAGGTCTTTAGGTTCTGTTGGCGATGATTTGTATTTGAAGTACGTGGGTGAAGCATTGACAGTGCTGCGATTCGAACAGACGTCGCCAGCGAAGTACTGTTCGAGAAATGTGTGAACAAAAATGGTGGAGCACGAGGTAGAACAAGGGGTAGAATACCAGGTCGACCCCCAATTGGAATGCGAGGCATCAGAACAAGGGGTAGAACACCAGGTGGAACACCAGGTGGAATGCGAGGCATCAAAACAAGGGGTAGAACACCAGGTGGAACACCAGGTGGAATGCGAGGCATCAGAACAAGGGGTAGAACACCAGGTGGAACACCAGGTGGAATGCGAGGCATCAGAACAAGGGGTAGAACACCAGGTGGAACACCAGGTGGAATGCGAGGCATCAGAACAAGGGGTAGAACACCAGGTGGAATGCGAGGCATCAGAACAAGGGGTAGAACACCAGGTGGAACACCAGGCAGCAGAACAAGGGGTAGAATACCAGGTGGAATGCGAGGCATCAGAACAAGGGGTAGAACACCAGGTGGAACACCAGGTGGAACACCAGGTGGAACACCAGGCAGCAGAACAAGGGGTAGGACACCAGGTGGAACACAACGCAGACATGTATTCAACATGTTTCAAACAGACTTTGTATGCTTCAGCAGTCATTTATTCTATCTAATCCTTTCCCATTACCACTCGCAGGATGAGCATGAGGCATGATATAAACTAGACGACACAAGTGACAACAATCAGTAGAAACTACACGGCTTTTATATATAAAAGAAGTCCTCAAAATATACGATCAGCCATTATCCACTTCTGTATATGAACAAATCCACAAGGGCCGTGACGAGGATTCGAACCTGCGTCCGGGAGCACTTCTGTATATGACTGCTGCTGTTAAACAATTTGTCTTTCACTCTCTAGTTCGTTATACATCTTCCTAATTCGTTAACTTTCGTGGTTAATGTTTATGTACACGTATGGTAAATGATTTTGTATCTTTTGTAATATATATACTTTCGAATTACGGCCAGTGTAATGAACTCACTTCAATCTAAATATGTGGCTGATAAAAGCATTTAGGTCTTGCATAAACAAAGTGTTGAAGTCTTGCATAAGCAAAGTGTTGAAGTCTTACATAAACAAAGTGTTGAAGTTTTACATAAACAAAGTGTTGAAGTCTTACATAAACAAAGTGTTGAAGTCTTACATAAGCAAAGTGTTGAAGTCTTACATAAGCAAAGTGTTGAAGTCTTACATAAGCAAAGTGTTGAAGTTTTACATAAACAAAGTGTTGAAGTCTTACATAAACAAAGTACAAGAAGCCAACCTAGCCTCACCATCTACCAGATCTTTCGGTCACATTCTAACACTTATCTGACATAAATGCTATTCTTATCGCGTTCAGGACGCGGCATGCACAGGAAGAGGGGTAACTGAGGCATTGTGTACTCACCACCTTCATCGGTCATCACAGCGACAGTGGAAGTGGGTCCGTAGCCCTCAGGGTTAAACACCTGAAGGGAGACGAGGTACTGGGTGTAGGTGCGTAGGCCCTGTACAACGTGACTCTGAAACACCCAGGGAGGACAGGTTAGAGGAATAGGTGGTGGCGCGGGCCCCAGGCAAAGGCTCCCTTCGCCTCCTCATCGCAAAGTCTCCAAACTGTGAGATGTTTACCCGCGGCGGCAGTTCGCCCGAACTCCAACGGCTGTCTGTCAACCTCCATTTTGTCTAAATGAAGTTCTCTCTCTCTCTCTCTCTCTCTTCAGCACAATACAGCTTGCCGAGTGAGTAGTTTGAGTTTTATGGCTGTTGCTCACAATAGTGATGAACTTCGTCATTAATTGTCATTGAAATGTTGGAATTCAAGCGGTATTTCCGGCTGCAAACCAAATAAGTCCGGAGAGAGCAAAGGGAGGGATACTCTTCCACACAAATCTGGTTTACAGGAGTGTTCGCCACTAATAAATCACACTGTCAAACTTTGCGGTTAATGAAGGTGCATAAAGAACCGCCTACAGGCTCGTTAATTCCCGTCAACTACAACACACAACACAACAAACTACTCTCTACTCTCTACACTACACGTGCACTAAATACAACGTATTACTATTACTGCAGGAATGCCATACTAATATTACTGTGCTATGTCATGCTGGTTATAACACCCCATGCACCGCTACGGACATTGCAGATACCGATGGCGACTTATAATGAGAGAGTTGTCCCTCTGAAGGCTGATGCGCTATTATAGAAAATGTACCAGCCACCCGGAGCTTCAGAGAAAATGGAGATCTTCGTCCGTCACGCGTATCTTGAAGGATAACTATAACAATCCTGAAATGTCTTCCTTAAAGTGATCTAAAAATACTATCAACTGTCTGATAGCATCAAGTTAATTACTGCAGTGAAAATACTAATTAGCGCACACAGCTTTCTATTTCGTGTTTTCTCCGATCCTTTCACGCCTAACCGAGTTAAATTGCGAGTTGTATCCTACACTCCAACAAAGGATAATATTTTTTTCAAATTTAAATGCTAAAACAGCACATATTTTATAATTAATTATAAAACGACCATCATCAACGCACACAAGGTAAACAACAATTTACAAGGGTAAAAATGTACCCATTTTGCCTTGACTTGACACGGGAGGAAGTTGGTGGGTGCTCGGGCTACAGGCAGGCGGGCGGGCACAGGCCGGCGCCGTCATCGCTCGCAAATATCCGAGGGAATCGCTCTGACAAAATAATGGTGGTCGCTGCAATTTGTTTAATGGACGTTACCTGGGTTAACCGGATTGCGGATCTTTCTGAGGCATCTGGATTAATCGGTTCCTGAAGGTCGGGGGTTGTGTGTGTGTGTGTGTGTGTGTGTGTGTGTGTGTGTGTGTGTGTGTGTGTGTGTGTGTGTGTGTGTGTGTGTGTGTGTGCGTGTGTAGGGTGAGAGGATGGGGTGTGGTTAAGGGGGTGTAAGCAATTGATAACTTACACATGGTGTGTAAAGCCACAGTTTTTACACCGAGCCTCGGCTCTACTGTCTTCATCCCGGCTCGAATGAGACAGCCTCGTCGTGGCCCGGCATGTTATCTTGAGATGATTTCGGGGCTTAGCGTTCCCGCGGCCCGGTCCTCGACCAGGCCTCCTTTTTTATTACACACTCCCAGGAAATAGCCCGTAGCAGCTGTCTAACTCCAAGGTACCTATTTACTGCTAGGTGATGAGGAGCATCAGGGTGAAAGAAACTATTCTCATTTGTTTCCGCCTCCGCCGAGGATAAAACCCGGAACCTTTGGACTATGAATTCCGAGCGCTGTCCACTGAGCCGTCAGGCCCCTGTAACGCCCCATGTACCGTAATGATCAGGTAGGCCTATGACTATCAGTGTCCCTGATAGTTATAGGCCTCCCCCCCCCAAAAAAAAAAAAATGACAGGTGCCTCTCTTCAATTATTTTTATTTCAACATCTTAACGAATTTACGAATTTTAAAATTTACACCAAAAAGCAATGGGACTAAAAAAAAATATATTTTCGCACAACGTGAATGGTTTATAAAACAATTTTTATTATTATTATTATTATTATTTTAAAGAAACAAGAAATAGTCGAGAGCGTTGGCCTATCAAAAATTCCAGTCCCGAAAATTGAAAATCCTTCCGTCGACTAGTCAATTATTCTACCCGCAAAATTCCTGGCACCATGTGAGAGCCTGGCCGCTAGGGGGGTGGGGGAAATCCTGGGGCTGGGGGATGGGGGGGTTGTGTGGGGGGAGAGGGTTCCTGGGACTGGGGGTGTGAGAGGGGGGGCCTTTTTCTGGGGGGGGGGGGGTTGCAGGGAAAAAGGGGGAGGGGGGTGGGGAAATTATGGGACTGGGAAGGGTTCTAGGGGCGTCAGGGACTCTGGAGGAGGGTAGGGGAGGGGAGGGGGAGCTTCCTAGGGAAAGAAAGGAAGTGGTGGGGAAGGATGGCGGGGGAAGGCTGCTGGAAGGGAATCTTGGATTAGATGAACCACACACACACACACACACACACACACACACACACACACACACACACACACACACACACACACACACACACACACACACACACACCTGATGTTAGTCGGGAGGTTTTTAGACTCATTGCAACTTTATTAAGGCTTTATATCCATTTTTGTTTTTATTTTGAGTAAAGACATTTAGTGTTAAATATTACTTGACTCTACTTTTATAGTATATTTAGAGATGCAACATATGTGATGGCTTGTGCTTTCACACAGTTTAATAACATGCATAACCACACACACACACACACACACACACACACACACACACACACACACACACACACTAGGTGACTACACATTACACTCACACGCCTCACATATCACACAATACACTCCCAAATTACACACTCATCTCATTTCCGAGTATTTAGTCTAATGACCTTTCAAACAAAACAAGTGTAACATTGAACAAATCCACAAGGGCCGTGACGAGGATTCGAACCTACGTCTGAGAGCATCCCAGACGCTGCCTTAATCGACTGAGCTACGACATGGTAAAAAGAATTGCCCTTGTGGAGTTGTTCATTTGATGCATCACGCTATTGTGATTTCTGTGTGCAAGTGTAACATTTAATACTCAAGAGACTCATGTAGGCTCCAAGTGGCCTCCTGGGTGCTCCCTGCACTTAAGGCACCCCTGCACCTCAGGCAGGAGGCGCAGAGGAAGGGTGCAGGCAACTTATGGTTTCTGAATAATGTCTAAATTGGCAAAATGTCGTTGTTATTCAATAATACGGGTGCAAACACCCTCCTGAAATGCACAATATAATTACAGGAACAGGAGGGGGGGGGGTAAATTGAGGCCATAGAGTGTACTGTATTCATTGTATAAAATGTACACAACGCCGAAGGATTGTATTGAAATAATAATATCCATCGTATACAATGAACTTTGTCGAAAGAGAGTGTGTGTCTCAGCTCGTATGGTGACTGGTTTAATTCAAATTGATCAACCGCGGGAGAGTTATTAAGGCCGCCCGCGAGGGCTTACTGACAGGACCAGGGAGCATACCTTGGTCCTGAACATAGTCCAGGCTTAAAAGTATACCTGTGTACATGCACTGTATATATATACACACACACAATGTATATACCTGTATATGCAGCTCTCGCTGTATAGATATTTCTTATGTCAATACTGGCATTGGAACACACGGGCCATAGGTCCTAGATCGGGTTAGGATTAATCCGATCTAGAATCTTTCCTCAGTTATAGCGGATTTATTTACATTTGTTAAATAAATAATGAACTCCGAAGCGTTACAAGGTTGTTTATAACGATAATTTCCTTGAGTTGTGAGTTTCCAAGCTCGCCAACTCTTTAATATATGTAAACAAAGCCTTCTTTCATATAAGTACATATGAAAGATACACAGGTTTCGCAAGTGGCTACGTAAATACTTGGTGAATCCTGGGGTTGATGACCAGCTGTAAAGAACTCAATTAATCCTGCGACAGCTGTCTGCCAATTTCATATTCCTTTTAAGTTATGGAAATTTATGCAAGCCTGAAAAACTGTCAATCTATTGCACAGCGAATTGACGTTTAATTTCACCATATCAAGTAAATTAGTTTTCAAAATATTAGCTCAAGGCCTGTTTGTGAGCGGTCTTCACTTGCAGGATGGGAAAATATATTTGCTAATTGATTTACGGTAGATATGAAACAAAAATCCCATTGATTTAGAATAGAATTTCTGGATTCTTGAAATAATCTAAGTATATATTTGTCGCATTCACAGACAGTCTGACAGAGACAGACAGTGTGAGACAGGCAGACAGACAGACATAGACATAGACACCCCCACCCCCACACACACCCACACCCACACACTCACACACACCTACACCCCCCCCCCCACACACACACACACACCCCCACACACACACTCACACACACACCTACACCCCCCCACACACACACCCACCCACACACACACACACACACACACACACACACACACACACACACACCCCACACCCCCACACACCCACACACACACACACACCCACACCCCCCACACCACACACACACCCCTCACACCCACACATACACACACCCCCCCCCACACACACACACACACACCCCCCCCCCCCCCCACACACACACCCACACCCCCCCCCCCCCACACCCACACGCACCCACCTTTCCCCAAAAACACCCATATAACCAAGACTCACATTAACACCCGGGTCCCTGACGGTGATGTTGACCACCTGGTCGGCGCGAGGGTTGGGGATGTCCCTGGGCTTGAGGACGATCCGGTACCCAAGGAACTCGCCGTGTATAGTGGAGTGGTTGGGCGCCTTCCAATGCAGCTGCAGGCTGGTGGACGAGGCGTTGTGGGCCGCTGTGAAGATCGGCTTACCCTCCGGCACTGTCCATACAGCAAGCGAGAGAGAGAGAAAGAAAATCAGATTATATAGAAAACACCTCTGTGAGCATTATAAATAACAATAAATTCCCCGAGGAGGAAACGCGGGCTGTGTCTTGGGTTCCTACAAGAGGTCCACAACTTTCAGTACATTAAGCAATGTATAACTTGTAACCTTTAAATATCAAATAAAGGCAATTCAGTGACAACTAGAAGGCGGGTACTACACAGAGGGGGACGGTGGAGGCGTAGTTACTGCAGGTAAACTGTGGGTGGAATACTACATCTGTGTGTGGCCGAGTGTATACAGTATATATGTATACTGTATACATACAGTATACATATACAGCCATATGCAGTGTTCAGAAGATGTGGAATACCACATGTATGTGTGGTCAAGCGTTTAGAAGGCACGACGCAGCCCAGCTGTAGCCTGGTTCGTGGAGTTCTTCTATTCCCCACTACTGATGATAACGATGCTGTTGTTGTTGTTTTAGATTCAGCTACTCGGAACAAAAAGTTCCAGGTAGCACGGGCTATGGTGAGCCCGTAGTGTACTTACCTGGCACAGGAGCGGGGCTGTGTGGGGAACTTGACCCCGAACTTGACCTTGACCCCTAAAGGTTGTTGCTTTAGAGCAGGACGCAAGCCCACATACACCTTAACAACCCAGTAAATCAAACATGCTCGAGTAACGACCAATCGACGACGTCTGCCCACCATGTGCCCACTGGCGTGTTCCAGCAAGTTGTGTAGGAACTTGTGCAGCTGTCTTTTGTGTTTCGGCAATATTTCTCACATTTGGCGGGAGAAGGTGGGAGAATTGTGGGCCTCTTGTGCTTGTACTGTACTGTGCATAGTGCCTTCAAGTGACTGTAATATTCCTTCAAGTGACTGTAATATTCCTTCAAGTGACTGTAATATTCAGTTGTAAAACCTTCATCAGTTTTGTATGACCTGTACCCTCTCTAGTGTGACCTGAGACAAGGAAATACAGACTAATACAACATTCTCGCACACATATATTCTTACCACCATGCTACAGTTGAGCGTTCCAGTCATGTACCCTGGCATCAGGGACTCCCAGGACCACGTAACGTGCTGTATATAGTGCCATTAAGCACCCAAACCCTCGGCTCGTTACACTCGTGCCAAATTGTGATTGGGAAATGTCCCAGGAGACTACAGGGTCGTTAATTATGCATGCCAGGCATCATCTTTCCCAAAGATGGGACACGAACAGTTTGCGGGGCAGTAATCCGCGCGAGCTTGGCTATGATACTATAGCGAAGCTTCATGAAGCAGGGCGACGGTGAAGCTGATTGGGCACTGATATACACACCTTTTTCCACACGACCACAAAAAAAAGGTATGCTTTGTCATGGGTTCGTATCCTGGCCGGGGAGGATTGACTGGGCGCAAATCCTTAACTGTAGCCTCTGTTTAACGCAACAGTAAAATGTGTACTTGGTTGCAACAACGATTCTTCGCGGCGGGGATCGTATTCCAGGGACCTGCCCGAAACGCTACGCGTACTAGTGGCTCTACAAGAATGTATGTTGGTAAACTCTGCAATGCATTCCGTGTTGTTTTTTGCATGATCCCACCCACTTATCTCTCAGCTTTCTTTTCTCTCAACTTTTTCATATAATTTTAGTGGTGAGTATTGACCATTCGTCGTGGCAATTCTAAATTAAATAAGAGCCTGTTATTTTTTGTTTGTGTGCATAGGAGGCCTGGTCGACGACCGGGTCGCGGGGACGCTAAGCCCCGGAAGCACCTCAAGGTAACTTCAAGGTATTGTGAGGTTGGTAACTATTCATAGACACGAAGGATCCATTAGCCATCAGATGAACAAATCCACAAGGGCCGTGACGAGGACTCGAACCTACGTCCGAGAGCATCCCAGACGCTGCCTTAATCGACTGAGCTACGACATGGATTAGCCATCACATCACTTTTCACACAAGACCATCACCACCTGAGAGACGCTCACCAGCAATACCAGATTAACCCACACATATGGCAGCAGTTCAAGTTTTAAACAGCAGAAGTACTGTAAACACACTAATGAAATAACAAACAGCTAGTTCATACACTGTTTCGTCCCTCCGCCAGCACAACCAAGAGAGAACTAGCACTAGGGAGCCGGTCGGCCGAGCGGACAGCACGCTGGACTTGTAATCCTGTGGTCCCGGGTTCGATCCCGGGCGCCGGCGAAAAACAATGGGCAAAGTTTCTTTCACCCTATGCCCCTGTTACCTAGCAGTAAAATAGGCACCTGGGTGTTAGTCAGCTGTCACGGGCTGCTTCCTAGGGGTGGAGGCCTGGTAGAGGACCGGGCCGCAGGGACACTAAAGCCCCGAAATCATCTCAAGATAACCTCAAGATAACAGGCAGTTGAAACTTATCGCACCGCCAGAGTCAACCAATAAGAATGCAGGGGTCAGATTCACGAAAGCAGTTACACAAACACTTACGAACCTGTACATCTTTTCTCAATCTTTGGCGGCTTTGTTTACAATTATTAAACAGTCAATGAGCTCCGAAGCACCAGGAGGCTGTTTATAGCAATAACAACAGTTGAATGGCCAGTTTTCATGCTTGTAAACTGTTTAATAAATGTAACTAAAGCCGTCAAAGGTTGAGGAAAGATGTACACGTTCGTAAGTGCTTGCGTAAGTGCTTTCGTGAATCTGGCCCCAGGTTACCTTGTCTTCTTGACAGGGTAATCCTTTCTCTCTTCACTTTTTTCTTCACTTCAGAAGGAAGTTGAAAAATTAACTCTCCAAAGTTCAGTTTTACAGTTTCTTCTTCTCAAGCGAAAAAAATGTCAGTAAAATAGAGCAGATTCATGCTAGAATCAATGATCTCACCCTACGGTCACATTCAATAATATATAATTAAATGCAAAATGAATCTTCATATATTACTTTATGCATAATACAAATCAAATGAATATGGCCAAACCACTCACGGAAACAAAGATGCTCGTTCAACACATTTTGGGCAGCACACTGCTGAGATGGTGTCGTGGTGATGGTGATTGTGGTGAGAGCGCTTGTGCCACCACACACACACACACACACACACACACACACACACACACACACACACACACACACACACACACACACACACACACACACACACAAGACCCTCTGACAAACACTTAAAAAAGGCCTTACAGCTAACCAAACCAGTGAGACGTGAACCCATGACTCCTGTCCAAATACTGTTATAAAAGCCACTGGCTGCAAGTGTCCGTCCACCAACCCGTCAATTGACAGGAAAAACAGGTGATAAGCGCTCCCCACTTAATACCTCGCTCACCATAAACAATCACAGGGATTTAAACACGAACAGGGACGCCAAATGGAACGAATTAACCGGGCATTTAGCACGTGTTAAAAGGGTGATTACGCTAGGGAGCAAAGAGAGAGAGGACAGGGGGGGATGATTGGGGGTCATTAGGCTGTTAATGGGGTCAGGATGGGAGTATGGATGAGGCGAGAGGGAGGGTAGTGAGGGAGGGGAGGGGGCATGAGTAATGATGGGGGTGGGGGGAGGGGGGAATGAGGGTATGAGTGAGTTAGGTATGACACGCAACCCTTCCCTCTACCCCAACAAGACTCATTACCCCCCCCCCCCACCTCCTCCAAGGTCACCCCATAACAGCCAAGGTCACCCCATAACAGCCAGGGTCACCCCATAACAGCCAGGGTCACCCCATAACAGCCAGGGTCACCCCATAACAGCCAAGGTCACCCCATAACAGCCAAGGTCACCCCATAACAGCCAAGGAGGTAGACGCAAAACTTTACCTCAGCGGGCCAAGGACACTAACAAAAGGAATTACACACTCCTGCAACTTTTAATAACAATCCATAAAGAAAACTCCATACCGAGCAGAGATTTTTTTTCAATAATGTTTTGCGATGCGGTCCCAGCTGTCGGGATAGAATAGGGGTAAAAAAAAAATTTTTATTTTTTTTTATTTTCATGTCTTGTGTGTTATTTTGTCTTGCTTATTGTTTATGGATCATGGGTGTTGCGGTTGTGTGGGGGGGGGGGTTGTGGATGTGTGGGTTGACTGTAACAACTCTTGTATGTATATATATGTATATATATATACATATATATATGTATGTATATATATATATATATATATATATATATATATATATATATATATATATACAAAACAAAATGTCTTCTCCCTTGTCTTGTCTATCGTTACCTCAGCTTGCCTTGGCACCTCCATCTCAGATCGTCCATCGTTACCTCAGCTTGCCTTGGCACCTCCATCTCAGATCGTCCATCGTTACCTCAGCTTGCCTTGGTACCTCCATCTCAGATCGTCCATCGTTACCTCAGCTTGCCTTCGTACCTCCATCTCAGATCGTCCATCGTTACCTCAGCTTGCCTTGGTACCTCCATCTCAGATCGTCCATCGTTACCTCAGCTTGCCTTGGCACCTCCATCTCAGATCGTCCATCGTTACCTCAGCTTGCCTTGGCACCTCCATCTCAGATCGTCCATCGTTACCTCAGCTTGCCTTGGCACCTCCATCTCAGATCGTCCATCGTTACCTCAGCTTGCCTTGGCACCTCCATCTCAGATCGTCCATCGTTACCTCAGCTTGCCTTGGCACCTCCATCTCAGATCGTCCATCGTTACCTCAGCTTGCCTTGGCACCTCCATCTCAGATCGTCCATCGTTACCTCAGCTTGCCTTGGTACCTCCATCTCAGATCGTCCATCGTTACCTCAGCTTGCCTTGGCACCTCCATCTCAGATCGTCCATCGTTACCTCAGCTTGCCTTGGCACCTCCATCTCAGATCGTCCATCGTTACCTCAGCTTGCCTTGGTACCTCCATCTCAGATCGTCCATCGTTACCTCAGCTTGCCTTGGCACCTCCATCTCAGATCGTCCATCGTTACCTCAGCTTGCCTTGGTACCTCCATCTCAGATCATCCATCGTTACCTCAGCTTGCCTTGGCACCTCCATCTCAGATCGTCCATCGTTACCTCAGCTTGCCTTGGCACCTCCATCTCAGATCGTCCATCGTTACCTCAGCTTGCCTTGGTACCTCCATCTCAGATCGTCCATCGTTACCTCAGCTTGCCTTGGCACCTCCATCTCAGATCGTCCATCGTTACCTCAGCTTGCCTTGGTACCTCCATCTCAGATCGTCCCGGGACGAGCCTCGTTGCAAACAGCTGAACATAATTCCTCTTTATTTACACCAGGATCGTTTAAGTGTTCAGTTGTGTGTCCTCTAGGTGAGGTATTAATCCTTTCCGAAACGTTGCGTTTGTTATCATGTTGAGGCGCCCTGTGTATCCTGGTTGCTCCCCTGTGGCGTGAGTGATCTAGTGTCTGTAGCGACCTACACAGTGCCTGGAGCGACCTACACAGTGTCTGGAGCGACCTACACAGTGCCTGGAGCGACCTACACAGTGTCTGGAGCGACCTACACAGTGTCTAGAGCGACCCACACAGTGTCTGTAGCGACCTACACAGTGTCTGTAGCGACCTACACAGTGTCTGTAGCGACCTACACAGTGTCTGTAGCGACCTACACAGTGTCTGTAGCGACCTACACAGTGCCTGTAGCGACCTACACAGTGCCTGGAGCGACCCACACAGTGCCTGGAGCGACCCACACAGTGCCTGGAGCGACCTACACAGTGTCTGTAGCGACCTACACAGTGCCTGGAGCGACCCACACAGTGCCTGGAGCGACCCACACAGTGCCTGGAGCGACCTACACAGTGTCTGTAGCGACCTACACAGTGCCTGGAGCGACCCACACAGTGTCTAGAGCGACCCACACAGTGCCTGGAGCGACCCACACAGTGTCTAGAGCGACCCACACAGTGTCTAGAGCGACCCACACAGTGTCTGGAGCGACCCACACAGTGCCTGGAGCGACCTACAGTGTCTGGAGCGACCTACACAGTGCCTAGGACTAACGACATATCTTAACCTAACCTCCCCCACAAGAGGACCCTCTTCCCCCCTCCCCTCCTCCACCCCGTACAGCACAATTCTTTAATAACCCTTCATGCAGGTTTAATTAAACGACCGCTTGGGTCCAATTTCGCCACGACCTCCGCTGCTCCCCTCTGCTGTCACATTATTTGGCAACCGGTTCGTACACCACGTGAACCAAAATCACATATATGATAACCAAAGGACTGGTTAGGGGAGGGGGTGGGGGGGGAGGGAGAGACAGTGTTCCAGTCAGTCTATCACTCGCTTTGAAAGTTAAAAATTGACTCTGAACGCATGATCTAATTCTATACTATGTGTGGAGCTCTGTGCTCGGTGCGACACTTTGAGGTAAATTAGGATTTTTGGGGCGAAAAGAGAACTTTTGAAAATGCTCAGGATGGGGGGGGGGATGGTTGAATGATAAGCGTAGACGGTTGAATATATATATATATATATATATATATATATATATATATATATATATATATATATATATATATGACAATGTCAGACCACGGAGGAAAAATGAAACAGGAATTTCCTTAAGTACTTTCGTATATTAATACATCTTCAGGAGGAGACTCCTTCTGAAGATGTATTAATATACGAAAGTACTTAAGGAAATTCCTGTTTCATTTTTCCTCCGTGGTCTGACATTGTCACATTTTTAATCACGTGTTTACTTTCGTGATATACACACACACACACACACATATATATATATATATATATATATATATATATATATATATATATATATATATATATATATATATATATATATATATATATATATATGTAGGATGTTGTGACGATAATCTCTTTCAAGAGAGATTGAGCCTGCTCTTCCCTACTTAAAGTTACGTCAAGTTAACAAGTATGAGATGCTACATTCAAGATACGTCACTGGTAGCACAAAACGTTTTGACCAGGAGGCAAAACGTACCCAAGAACCCCCCTATTCCACACACCCTCCATGCCGACTCCTCGTCAACCAGAAAACTACCCATCCCAGCCCTGATTGGTGACTCGCCGACCGCGCACCTGCACACTGCACCTCAGCGCCATCTACCTGAGTCGACGTCTGAACCTGACCAGCCATCAACTTCAGAATATTCTTTGTGCTCTTAGAGTTGACATCTCTCTCTGGCATACTAAGCTCTCTGGCTTTCGTATACTAAGGGAGGTCTCAGCTAAAGCCAATATTCTCAGCACCATTTCACATTATATTATTTAATCTATTGTGTTTTTGCATTTATCTTTGTCATTTTATTGCACCAGTCATTTACCCGAGATTTGTCTTTATTTTCATTTATGTTTAAAGTAAATATATTAAAGTTTCATTGTTCATACTTTGTGTTTTACGTGTTCCTCCCTCTAACTTACCACAGACAACAGGCAAGCAGTCTATATTTTTTTTTGTAAGTGTGACCAGGCATTGACACCTGCCATTGGAGGACTGCCGAACATCAATACTCCAACACTTTCCCGTCACAATGTGTATATATATATATATATATATATATATATATATATATATATATATATATATATATATATATATATATATATATATATATATATATTCTTATGTCCTCCATGGCCAGGGTGTTAGCAGTGTAAATGTGTGGCCACGTCTGTTGTAGAAAATAATAATAATAATAATAGAAAGTGCTGCTTATCCTACTTGTGAAAAAAAACAATAATAATTATGTATCGTATATATATATATATATATATATATCGTATATAATAAAACATATTTCAGTCTTCCGCTTTAATTTATATAAAAGCAGTTATGAAATAAACTAGCAACATTTAATCATTTTTATTTAACATGTTTTAGAGTTTCGCGCGCACACAAACCCTAGGTAGGATAAGTGAGACATGATCACTGCGTAAAAGATACAGAGGGGAATAGACACGGTAGTTAAGGGTAGTTTCTTAAAAATTCCAAGACTTTCCAAAAGCCTTCGTGGACCGAGTGAGCGTTGTCAGAGGTCAGGCTGTGTGAATACCTCCACAACACCCCCACCCCCTACACCCCCCCCCACAACACCCCACCCCTCCCCCAACACACCCACGCTAGCAAGACAGTCTGCGGTCGATGCCTGGGTCATGCAAGAATAAAATATTCAACTCTGAAAAATTTCAAAGAGACATTGGCTCAAATTCCTATGACGAGGGGACACAGACCTTGAAACTTACACAGGAACG